ACTAATCGGGCCTTGAATACCTTGGCGTTCTACTCGATCAACTGTGGCGCTATCAACGTGTGAGATCGCAGCGAAGCCCAACCCAGACGGTTACTGACAATCCTACAGAATGACCGCCATCGGTGCCGTAACCTGTGTACGCCTCATCTCCTTAGGTCCCTTATTGAAATGGCTACTGACTGCGGGCACCGTCGCCACGTAGATCATATCTTCCCCACAAGCGTTATATTGGACAGCCTTCTTCGTTCTTCAGGTCAAGCTGTACTTTTCCTCTTTCATGGCCATGTGCGTAAACTCGTCGCTGCCTCCGCATTTACTCCTCATATAGGCTTCAGCCTGAATTCTCGAACGCATGTACGAGACATCCTCCACGGCCAAGACGGAATCGTGATGTCGATGTCTGTGGTCCGGTCCAAGGCGCACCGTGCGAGCCATACCCAGTCGGTCGATCCTGTACGCGGCGTGCAGGTAGGCGCGCAGAACATGCGCGACCATGTCATCGATATTCACCCCAATTTGGGCTCTGAATCCACTGTCCCGAGGGAGACCCTCGGCAAAACCGAATGATCTGCTTCAACACGGACATGTGCGTTCCCAAGTCGGTCGGTGGCTTGGATTATAGGCACCGCGATACTGGTTATTGGTGGTGGTTGGCTTTACAAAGTAATGGGTTTGGGACACAAGGACCCTATATATATGTTTATATGGCACTCTATAGCTCGAAACACACATACTACAGGACAAGATGAAGTTGCGTACATCTAGATCGTACACAGTGCGAGACAACAATCAACACAAGGGTGAAAAGTCCAGCGTCCTCGTCACTCTGCGAACCCCTGCGAGACCAGTTAATACTTGAAGCATATGTAGCTCAGATACACACCTCGACGGCACTAGGTAACGAATCCAGCACTTCCTTGATCGCCCGCGACGAAAGCGCCTTGTCGTACACCGGGCTCCCGCACACCACCTTCTTGCACCGCGCCGCCCAGCACGCCTGCGCCGTCGGCCAGTCCTCCAGCCCCGCGAGCACCGTGTCGCCCGCGGGGCGGCGCTCGAGCTCATACAGCATAGCATGCTTGAGCTCGCGCCACTCGGAGTAGGAGATAGGCTCGCGGCAGCGCGAGCAGCGCGCGCCGGTGACGTCGCTGAGCTGCAGGTCGGTGAGGAACGGCGCCTCGGTGAGGCGCGCGCGGAACTGCGCGCGGCGCGTGTGGTGCAGCTCGAAGAGCGCGAGCAGGTCCGGCGTGCGCAGGCGCAGCAGCGCGCCGCGGTGCGCGGGCGCGTGCAGGTCGAGCGTGAGCGAGCGCGCCGACGCGAGGCGCGCGTCGTCCGCCCAGCCGAAGTGGCACGCGGCGGCGTAGAGCCGCAGCGGCGCGTCGAGGAACGCGGGCGTGCGCAGGAGCGCGCGCACGATGGACGCGGGGCCGGGCATGTCGTACTTCTCCGCGGCGTAGAGGATCGGCTCGACCGCGTCCCAGGTCTCGAGCGTGGGGATCTCGAGCCCGCAGATCATGCGCAGGAGCGGCTCGAGCGTGCGCGACTCCTCGTCGAGCGTGATCACTTCTGCGTCGGGCTCGGAGGATGGGAGCGTGCGGGGGAGCGGGATCTCGCGCTGCGGGAGCGTGAACATCGCGCGGAACCAGGAGGAGGTCATCTTGAGCGTCGTCGACGGCACGCGGAATAGCACGCCGTCGCGCGAGCCGAGGACGACATCGGCTTCGAAGGAGAAGAGGGGGTGGAATTGCAGGTTTGTGGGCTCATCTGCGGCGACTGGTGTCTCGTTCTGCATGGTGCGCAGGCCTCAAGATGGGGAAGAACGAAAAGTTGAACGTTGGACGTTGGCGGATCTTAACGAGTCGAGGGATCGTGGAGGCGCTGCGGCTTCCTAACTAGTCGGGCGTGGGGCGGTGGTGCTTCCTGCGTCGGCTGTGGTAAAGACGATTGTCGCTCGACGCGACCCGATGATTGCAGACTAGCCCAAGCGTACCACTGTAGATACAGTGGAGTAATGGAGTAGTGAAAGTTGGGCCCTGCGAGCGCAGTGGGGAATTTTTGAGAAAAGCATGGTGATGTCCGATTGCTGACAACGGCCGCGCTTCGAGCTCCAGCGCACCGCCGCGCTCAACACGTTTTCCCCACGTTGCCGGACTCCATCTGATCCCGAGATCGTTCGACATGATGCCCGCTCAGACTACCAACTTAAAACTACTGAAAATCTCTCGTTCCTTTGGGGACACACTCCACCACAAAGGTCCTTGAACTAGTGTCCGACTACACGAAAATACTAACGAGTGTGACTACCAAAACAAGCGTCCAAGCCGAGTTCATCCACGTCAAAGACATACCACCCGCAATCATAACATAACATCGGACACTTCGCGAAATTTTAGATAATGAGGGCACCGGCAGCGACCGCAAGGACAACGCCAAACACGCTGAGGAGTACTCCGACCTCGGGCACACGCACGCTGGCAGACGCGCCACTGGATGTGGTGGGCCCAAAGTTCGAGCCTGAGCTGGTCCTGCTAGGCCCGGTGCTGGCGCTGCCCGTCGTGCTCGCAGCACCAGATGTCTGTGAAGAGGAGGCAGATGAGCTCACGGATACCGTCGAGGATGCGATTGTAGAGCTGGAACCAGGGCCCGAAGACGCGGCGGACGAAGAAGGCGGTGCCGAGGAAACCGGGGTGAACGACAGCGGGAGAGAAGGGCTACCCACAGAGGACGCGCTCGAGCTGGAACTCGTGGAGACGTTCGCGCTGGAGACGGCGAGGTTGTTCCCGATCGTGGCTGTGGTCGTGCAGGACGATGTCGGCGGCGCCGGGTGCGCATCGGGGGTGACGGGCTCGCCTTGGAAGAAGGTCGAGGTGCCGTAGACGCCCATGGGCTGTAGAGCTGCGTCAGAAGTAGGACGAAAGATTGTGCTGCAAGAATAGACATCACCTCGCCGCTGTCACCAGCACACTGATCGAAGCCGGTTCCATAGTCTCCTGGCATGTTCCAAAAGCAGCCCATCTCGTCGTAGATGTGCTGGCAGAGCGCTGGCGCGCCCGGTCCGTCTTTGCATCCACGGAAGCAGAACTCGGTATCAGAGATGAAGTTCTGTGTGTGCGCGCGATTGAATTGCGATACGATAACGAGGAGGGACCGCACGCACTGTCCATTCGTGCAGCTGAATGAACTGCCCGGTGAATGCGTTGGAGAAGACTAGGCCGCCGACAGGGTTGCCTGGGTGCAAGCTTAGCAGCGTGCAGATCATAGCGCCGGTCTATCCGTACCATTGCCATCGGCACCGTGCGGGTCCAGCTCTCCGCCAGCATCTCCCGCGGGAACGTTTATTTTTGTCAGATCCCCAACGCCTAGATGACGGGTTATGGGTCAAACAACATCACTGGCGGATACAGCGACAGCTCATACCTGTGACCTGGACGTAGTCTGGTGTCTGCACAAAGTGGGCTCCTGTGATTGTGCCGTCCGGAATGGCCCGCGCGCCATAAACCCCCTGGAGATGTCGGTTAGGGTTGATATCGGCCTCATGGCTGAGAAGCCGGGATAACATGCCTTGATGCACCACGCGACTTCGATCCGCTAACCCACGCCGTGGCATATCAACCCCCCGCTGTCAGTCAGAGAGCTCGCAGCACTCGCCTCTGTGTTTCCAATAACGGACCCGGGGCCAGGCTCTGGCGGCGCGAACACACACCAGTCGTCGATGTTGTTGACTGCACGAACGGAACATCAGCGCGGTTATCTCTAGAGAGAAAACCGTGGGACGCACGATAGGCATTCTGGCACTCCGATGTCTGGTTGAACCCTGTCCCACACTGATTTGTACCCGCCTGGCCCTGCTCGGACTGCGGGGGCGTGTCCGTCGGCACATATGTCGCGGAATACGTCTGCGCGCGGACGTCCCTGAGAGAAAGCGCGAGCCCAAGTCCAAAGGCGACGCTCTGAATAGGGAACATTGTGGGGAAGGGGAAGCAAGCGGCCGGAGGGCTGCCTGGCTGGCTATGGGGTATATTTACCCGCGCGGCGAGCTATATCTGGGGCACAGGCACCGGGACGGGAAGTGTTTGCGCATGAAGAATTTTTCTGCCGCATGCAGTAGCACGCAGTGCGCACGAATATTCCCAAGAGCAGGGTCTGGCCCCGTGAGTGCTGCATGTGGTCAAACCCTCGGGCCTCAACATCAACCATCACGGGACGACTGTATTCTCGGATCGGGTAAGGTCGGCAACGGAGACTGGGTCAAATCCAAGTTGCTGCCGTCCGCCGTGTGAGAGGCGAACGCTCCTCGGCTCTCGGCCCGACACACCAGCGACTGCAGGCCAGTGGCAACTTCGTTTGCATCCCTATTCCAATGTTCCCATGTCGGCTTGCTGTCGTAGTTGGTTCTTCATCTATCTGTAGCGCATCTCTCTCTCGAGAATCAGGTTGACTACGCCGAACAGTGCCATCCCGGGCACAATCCTTCCACCCCAGTGTAGACTCGGAAAGGGGCAAGCCTGAGTTGGACTTGAGGTCTTGACTCTCCCAATGCACTTAGGCATCACCCCGACTTAGACTTCGGCAACAATTCTTGGCAAAAGGAAGATTGGTATGTGGCCAGCCTAGGTGGCAAAGGGTACATTCCCTCCTTTACAGAGCGACCACCCGTACAGATGTGCACGCCTCAGATTCTAATGGCAGATGCACCCTAAGGCTCCACCAACTCCGACCATCGTTCAGCTTCGGTTCCTTACAACTCGGCTCTACGGGCTCTCATTTCCTACATGGTGAACAGAAATATCAGACCTTATCCTCGATCTGGTCCGCGGTCAACCTAGGTCTTGTCTAGATCAGCAACCCAGACACGCCTCCAAGTGCCATTATTTGGCTGCTAGCACCGGAGAAGAGACCGCATGCCGCACCATTAAACTAGTATCACACCATCGACTCCAAGTATATGTATCTCCTTTGCCCATAGTCCGCAGGACGACCAAAAATAAAAATAAAAGCAATGTCCCTGGCCGGAGTCGAGCCGGCGGCTTGACGGTTTTGGTACGAGGCGAACCCCAATCCACAACGTCATGATTTAACCACTAATCGACAGGGACGTTACAACATGCTTAGCACAGAACGTCTACAGACATCCAATGTGAACCATCCCGTGAATAGTGATCCGAAAATCCACTCATCAGATCAGGGGGGTACACGAGTATTGGACATTTGTATGCTTGGACGCAGTGGTCAGTATTGGAAATGCGATGAAAACGATAACGGCGCCGAGAGTATCGATGCATTATGCGGTGGTGTATACTCTACGAAAATATGCCAATCATACAGTTTCCAGTGTTTCAGTTGCTTCAAGAAAGGATGTCGATGAACGAAGACAGAAAGGTGAGGCTACAATAGTGTGATCCAGGTGACACCCGTACTCGGCCCAAGAAGCGGTGGCAGGAAGAGACAAGACGATCGAGGAAGCCCCTATGTCCTGGCAAAGAAGTTATCAAAAGGGCCCGGCGGCGGATGATTGCCGCGTCCCCGCGCTGGTGGTTTTGGCGGCGGCGGCTGCGCCCTGCGCGGGCGTGACTCTCCCTGGGACTCGGCGACAAGCCGCACGACGCGCTTCAGCGCATAGTTCTGTGCTGGCGGCGCACGCACGGGATGCCTGCAAGACGGGCAAGTGTATGCGGGTAGACCCCGTACGCCGGCTTGTAGGTGTTGGGCGAGGGTGGTGCTGAGCCAATCCGAGAGGCATTCCTGGCAGAAGGTGTGCCCACAGTTCACGAGGCTGTGTGTGATGTGACGCATACATGGATCAGCGTCAAGGGTGAAGATGGATGCACTATTGAGACGCACAGGTACGGCGACCACATGTAGTGCGTGCAGACCTCGCAGCAAACGGCTTCATCGATGGCAGAAAGGCTCTCCTTCGGATTGTTAAGAGGAAGAATATGGAAGAGTGTAGGAGCGTGCGCTGACCTTATTCGTCGCTTTGAGTTGATCCAGCGCGTTGGTCACGCGTGCGAAGTCCTTCTGGAGCCTGTCGCGTTCCTGCGGGTTAATGTTAGCGCAACACGCGCGGCATGCTGTAACAACGAGTGTTCACCTTCTCTACATCGCGGAGCCGTCGGGCTACATCATGTGCCGTCTCCGAGTCTAAACCGTCGCTCTTCAGACCTGAGGTGTCTTCGGACAGCTCCACGGCCGGATCGCGGGCTGCGCGCGCAGGCTTCCTTGACCTGCGCCTTGGGGGAGGCTTGGGCTCGTCTTCATCTTCAGAAGAAATGACGATGATTTCCGACGCGGGGGGTGCCACATACGGGGCCCGAGAACGGGGACGAGCCAATGTTGAAGTTCGCTTCGCGGGCATTGTGGTAGGATTGGGCGGTATGCTTTCGAGGACTGTTCGTTGGGCTGTTGGGCTCTTAGGCAAAGGGAGCGTACACCGCCTTCTGTGGCACGCAGGCAGTGGCAGGACACTGAAAGGAGGAGATCAAGGCGAGTTGACCAGTTTGGAGCGCGACTTGTTGCAAATGACGCGCCGCGTCCGGGCCGAATAGGCACGTTCCAGACGGCGACACAGGCGACACTGCCACCAACCACCACTGCGACCTCAGTTCGAAGCCCGCTTCCGCGTCCTTTGTGTCCCGGTTGCACTTAAGCCCCAATACGTAACGAGACAAGATCGAATATAAGAGCAGAGGAAGGTTATGGTGGCGAGTTGGAGGAGGTCGGAAGGGTGGACAATGGAACCCGAGGTCCGCGTGTCCATTCCGCATGAACCTCGTCAGCCAACTAACATCCACCTTCCCGAACAGCACTACAGTCCCGCCGCTATCACAGGCGGAATCCAGGGATGATAGATCTGGAGAGCAGGGTTTCGTAACGAAGTCCCTTTTTGGTGACGCACGTCGCATGGCCCCGGCGTAGCCCAAGGCTCGAGGAGACACATCTAATCGGTGTCCTATTGTCCCCATGTGCCGCGTCGGCATCGACGTCGTATCCCTTCGCCTTGACCCTCAGTGTGTCCCGTGTATACGCGACGACGATTTAGACACAGCCACACCAAGCGCAAGTGTCTTGTGGCAGCTTGTGGCGACTTCCTCGATCCGCTTTGGCGCGAACTCGCCACATCCTGCCACTTCTGTGTGTCACTCCGACGCAGCCCTTTCTTTATAACCCTGATCTTCTCTACCCATATCACCTTTATCACCCCGCGCTCGACATTCGGCATGCTCGCCGATCTGCTTTCTGCACCGCGTCCGCCGTTGGGCATAGCCTCCATCGGCGTCTTCATCGCCCTGTTGAATTGGATACTCCATCTGCTTCCTTTGGCACTGTTCGGCACTACCACGCTCCTGTCGTTCTATTGCGCCGGCACTGCTGACTCTGAACACGTCTACGAGTACCGCCATGTCGATGGTCACCCTCGCCACACCTACGCCGCCCATCCGTCCGACCTCCCAATGGAGTCCCCCGAGAAGCACTTCAAACTCAGCGGAGACCTTCGCATCCTCATGATGATCCTATCCTTCCCCGTCTCAGTACTCTTCGCCAACTATGTATGCCACCCCGCCCGCGTCCTTCTCCGTGACAACTTGGAATTCTGGTTCCACGTGCGCTATGTCCAGCCTGCTTTGGCCTCTGGCGTGTGGCCGGACATGTGGCCCCCGATTATCAGTGCCATTCGCTCGTGCGGATTTATTGGGGGTTTCATAGACGGCGTCGTGAGCGAGGATTCGAGTGAGTCCGCGCAGACTCGCTCGGTTGTTCAACTCAAGTTGCGGAGTAAACAGGTGCTGCCGACACCGCGCGCCAGGAGGATATAATACTGCCAACCAGCATCGAGTCTCATTCACCTCAACCTGGTGAGTATCCACTGCTGCGAGTTTCTGTCATGGCCACTCAAACCTCAGTTCCCAGCACACCACGGGCGTCGCTGCGAATTGAAGAACAAGGGTGCCAAATTGCCCGATCCCGCTGGTGCAGATGCACTCCCGTGGTGCGTTGCATCTCTGTGCTCATATATCCCGCTGACCCTGCGACAGTGCCGTCGATATATATTCCACGCCTGTCCGAAAGACTTTCGTCTCACCTCCGCTCAGTGTTTCGACCTCCAAGTGCGTCTTCGGTTTATGCGCTTGGGATATTTGTATTCTGATGCGTCACAGAGGGCTACGTTCTGCCTCAAAGAACCTTTCCCGCGTCGCGCAGGCGTTCTCCCAGCGTCCACTGCTCTCGACGGTCTTTCTCCCTCGTCGCCCCGACTTGATGCGTATCGCACGTGACCCTGAGACACCGGAATTTCTATTCCCTGGTGCATGGATGGGCTACGAGCACGACAACACCCATACATCAGACGAGTGGACACCAATACCTCCTCCCAGAAGCGCAAATTTCAACACTGACGCCTTCCCCGAGGACGTACAACATACGCAGTTAGCTTGGGGGCACGTCGCCCGTCGCTTGCTGGTCGAGGTTCCCGAGCGCGTGGAGCACGTCTCGGAAGATGTACTAGCCCTGTTCAATGCGCCTCAGCCCATGCCAGAGGTGCCGCATCACCCGGTCATCCAGCCCTCCCAGTTCGTGCAACACCAGTTCTATGAACACGTAGCGCAGCCGGTGGGCGTCTTCCAGCAGACCCAGTTTTCTCAAACAATGGAGCCTCTCGTTCAACAATTCCCGATGCATCAGCCGACCACGACCACCTGCGAGCAGCCTTTTGCCGGCTTTTCTTCCCTTTGGCAATCGAACCCCGTCGTGCAGCCACAGGACGCACCTGTCGACTCACCGATGGATGTACCTCCCCCGTTCTACGCGCTTCCGGTCCAGGAAGAATACAACCATCCCATGATATCACTCCAGCCTGCGTTCCCGTTTCCTGTATCGCAGGAGCAGTGCGATTCTAAGATGGACGAAGAGATTTCGGCGTCGCCTCCTGTTGCCGAGATGTCAGAAGCGCCATGCATTGGCACCGTCTCTCTTCCGTCCTTCCCGGTGTATTCTTCCCCGTTATCCACGGAACAGGCGCATACTCTTGATTCGGACATGGGCCCTATCTTGCAACCTGCTCCCCAGCCAACGGTGCAGTCAAACGAAATCCAGAAGCCGCATGTTCCATCGGAGTCCGGGGATGTGCTGCATGACTATGCTCCCCAACCGAACGAGCCGTACTACCCTCCAACAGAGCCGTCCACCCCGGTCCTCAAAACGCGTTTGTTGTCAGAGGCCGACGCCTTCCTCGACTCTCTGCTAGTCGGCATGCCTCAGCCAGTGCGGGGATCCGATGCACTCAACCCGCCTCAGCTCGATGCCACCTTGGATGTCCCGACACGCACTTCCACGGCGGCAGTCCGCACACCCTCTCCAGTACCGGCATACGTCGGCGACACGGCAACAGCGAAAGGAACGACACACAGCGTTGTTACTGAGCCCGCTTCTACTCGGAACATCCCGTACGCCCCAGAGGACGCGCAGTCCTCGTCTTCCCAAGCTCGCGCCGAGCCCTCCCGGCAGCCTCAACAAAGATCATCTGGTCCGGTCGCTGGCCCTTCCACTCAGCGCAACGTCCCGTTCACCCCCGCGAACGCCAAGACTACCAGCACTGTGCCACCGGTCCCGCAGGTCGTCAAGATCGCAGACTTGGATCTCGGCGATGAAGACAATTCGAGCGATTCGGAATCCGAGTTGGTGTACGAAGGCAAAGGAAAGGGGAAAGCACCTGCAAGAGCAGCGCAAGCGCAGCCCCGGCGCGGACCCAACGGCCTTGTAATGCTCGAGCCGCCGAGCCCGTCACGAGTGAGAGCGCCATCTCCTCTGCATGTCCCTTCGGAGGTACCGACGCCGGTTGAAATTGCAGACGATGTTTTGCTGGTAGATGCCGCCGAAAATGCGGATCAGAAGATAGACGCGGAAGACGGCAACGGCGTGGATGAAGGCTCGGACAGCAGCAGCAGCGACTCAGACTCAGACTCAGATTCGGATTCCTCGTCCTCGGACGACGACTCGTCGGATTCGGATTCAGAGGACTCGGATGCAGACATGGCGGAAGATGAGGAAGACGCTGCCAAGGAAGCGAAGGCCAAGCCGATAGTCAGGACCATCGCTAAGA